GCCGGTATTTCAGAGATCCGTGGTTTGTTTCCCGGCGAAGGCGTTACTAATTTTTCATCTCTCCGGCTTCCAAATTCAATTTAATTGTAACTTAAGCTGCTAGTAACTCTATCATATGAGGAAATAGAAATGGGGAAATTATAGTAAAGGCTGAAATTATTAACAACTAGGTAATTTACATAATAATAATTGTACATATCTTTGAAGAATTTTTTTCTTTCTTCCACACATTTCCTTTTGAATTTAAAATTTTGAGAGTTAATTAAAGATTTGTGTTATTCTAAAAAAAAAAAAAAAAAAAAAAAAAAAAAAAAAAAAAAAAATTAAAATGTGTAGAAAAAGCTGCTAATTTTATTCCTTTAGTAATATGGATTCTAAATATTCCTTTAGTAATATGGATAATAATTCTTTCTTCAGCATGTTTCCTTTTCACTTTAGAATTCAGAAGAAATATGAAATATATATGGTAAGGGCCGGTTACAGAGCTGGTGTGGAAGAATTTTTAGAATTTAGTGACACACCGAGGAACAAAATCTAGAAATGGCAAAACTTTTAGAATTTAGAGCAAGTACTGGAAGCAGAATTTAGAAAGGTACTAGGCAGCAGAATTTAAGATCCTCAAAGATTGCATCAGGTGGGATAATGCCTAGTGCCAGCCCTGTGTATGATGCATTAAGACATATTAGATGAATTCTTTTAAATTATCAGTTTTCAATTTTTTTATAAATAAAAAAAAAATTCCTTTCTATAATGCCTGTCCATGTGATAAAATTAGAAGCATTTGTGATATTTTCCATGCTTACGTCTAGTGGAAAGTAGAGAAAATAACGAGAAGATAAACATGTGAAGATTCTAGTATCATAAGTGAAACATTCAAATATTATGTTTTCATTGTTCTTCCAGATGTTCTCCAAAAAGTAAGAAATTCATTGCAAACGTTCTGAAAAATACATCCATTACGCGTTTATACCATGGAGACATTTTTCATTTTGTCACATATTTCCTCTTATTTAGAAAGAACTTAGAACAAACATAAAGGCATGTTCTGATGTTAACAAAGTCAACTACATCTCACGGTAACATAATTAAACAAGCTATTAATTATCCATCAATTAGCTATAAAGTTGCACATATTTTGCAGAAATTTAACTTTCGAGTTGTTTATTCTCCCATCAATAAAATTCCAACTTCTATACTCAAGGACCCCATTCCGGATATGAATTCCTGGGGTATTTATAGGATTCCTTGCCAGTGTGGTTTAATTTACATTGGCCAAACTAAGAGAGCCTTAAAATTTCGCGTCAAGGAACATGAGGCATATGTTAGAAAAAAGGAAACACAGAAGTCTTCTGTTGCTCAACATTGTTGGTCCGAAAATCACACTTTCAATTTTTCTGCTGCCAAAATTATTCAAAAAACATCTTCCATTGGAGAACTGGATTTTTCTAGAGGCATTTCACATTCATAAAAATCTTTCTGTTCTAGTTAACGATCCTAATTCCAATCCAAATTTGCCTTCGGCTTTTAGAGAAATTATGTTTTAGTTCTGGTTTCGCCAACAGATGGCGCCACTTGCTTATTCTTGTCCAGGCTTTCTTATCTTATCTAATCATTATTTCCTATCTTGTTCATTTGCGGTTTTGCAGCTGAAGATGATGGTTCGGTAAAACCATCGAAACTAGTCCTGTGAAAATTTTGTAGGTATAACGCTGATTTTTGTTGTTTGACTTCTGAATTAGTAAACAAGAACAGTTAAGTTTAAACTAAAAATGTGGACTAGTGGTCAAAGATTATACAATTTAATTTGAATTTAATATGGCTCAATAACTCTATCATATGAGGAAACAGAAATGGAATATTAGTAAAGGCTGAAATCATAAACAATTGGGTAATTTACATAATAATAACTGCACATACCTTTGAAGAATAATTTTCTTTATGTATTCAGTTTCTTTCTTCAGCATGTTTCCTTTTCACTTTAGAATTTTGGTATTTAATTAAAGATTTCTGTTATTCTAAAAAAAAAAAAAAAAAAAAAAAAAAAAAAAAAAAAAAAAGGGAGCTGGTGTGGCAGAATTTTTAGAATTTAGACGGGCATTGGAAACAGAATTTAGAAAGACACTATGCAGTCGAATTCAGGATCTACAGAGGTTGCATCAGATGGGAAAATGCCTAGTGCCAGCTCATGATACATTAAGACTTATTAGATGGATCTTTTAAATTGTAAGTTTTCAATTTCTTTATTAATAAAAAAATCCTTTTCTGTAATGCCTGCCCAAGTGATAAGATTAGAAGCATTTTTGATATTTTCCATGCTTGTGTCTAGTGAAAAGTCGAGAAAATAAAGGAAGGATAAACATGTTAAGAAAAAGATTCTAGTATCAGGAGTAAAACATTCAAATATTATGTCTTCATTGTTCTTCCAGACGTTCTCTAAGAAATAAGAAATTCACCGCAAACTTTCTGTACAATACATCCATTATGCGTTTATACCATGGAGATATTTTTCACTTTGTCACTTATTTCTCGAATCTTCTAGAATCGTGGGTCTATAAATCTTGCCTTCAAGTTCTTCTAAATTTTCCAAGCTGCAATGTCTAAAATCCCAAAGAAAAATTATCCCTACCAATTCTGTAACAGCAAAAAGCCAGATATATTTTGGAAAAAAAAAAGGGGGGGGGGAGAAAAGTGTAAAATTAATTTTATGGAGAAAACTGATGCATATTTCTGAGACAATTACATGGGAAAAACTCTTACTATGAACAAATTAAGAAGACATTTTTAATTAATTACATAGCTAATTTTGCTTTTGCTAAGAGTTGTTTCATAAATTGTGCTTTATAGCTTTATAGCATTATACCTTGCTTATATTTCAGATTCAAAATATTGTATAATAAATTGCCAAAATGAAACTTTATAATATGACAGCGAAAAATAAAAATTTTTTATTTTAATGTTATTTTTTAAATATAATTTCAATATATTACCATTATTTTAATGAAATTTATCAATGCTACGATGTTTTAAAAAAAATCGTCGAAAAAATCTCAGATCTCGGAATTAAAAATTTTCTATAGAAACTGATCTTAAAATTGCCAAAATGTTGATAAGTCGCCAAATTTAGAACCGTTTAATAAAAGAACTCACATCTGTAAAAGCGAAAAGTTGTTTAAAGAGCTCTTTATTAGAAAAAATGAATTTCGAAATGCTTATGCTTCACTAAACTTGAGTATCCCATCGTTTATATTAAAAATAAAAAAATTATAACCCATGAACCCATTCAAAAAGATAACCATATATATGTCAGTGAATCGCCAAAAATATTCCTCCAAAATGCTAATTTACACTCAAAATGGCAGTTATAAAAACAGACAGAAATCTCAGATGATTAAAATTAAGGACCTTCTGCTGATTTTGGCCAAAATTAAGGACTTTTAAGGACCAAAAATCGATTCCAAAAAATCTAAGGACCGTACGAACCCTGTTTCAGGTAAGTGAAAGTATTTTTATCTTTTAGTGTTTTGTAACGATTTTACGTGTTTGAAACGATTTTTAGTTTTTAAAATTATGTTTTTGTAAGGATTGGATTTTCATATTTTAAAATTTTTTGGAAGTGAAAGTATTAATTTTCAGGGTTTTATGTTCTTTAAACTTACTATGTTTTTGAAACAATTTAAGTTTTTAAAGTTATTAGGTTTTCTTGAAAGGATTTCCAGTTTAAAAAATTTCCCACTTATTTGTTTGGCGCTTTTTACATAACTCAGAAGAATTGGATTTTTTGTCAATTTTCTTTTACCTTTTTAAGTGAAAATAGGTCGATGTGTACATGGATAAAGTCTAGAGAGTGCGCAATGCTATTTTTGTGCAATTCTGGGATGTTTTTTTAAGTGAAAATAGGTCAATGTGTACATGGATCGAGTTTGTGCAATTCTTAAAAACGCGTCAAGCAGTGGGTTATTCTGCACTTTCCCCAATTTTTTTATAGGTGAATGTATTTTAATTCTTCAGTGTTTTGTGACGGTTTTAAGTTTCTGAAGCTTACTATGTTTTCTTAACCGTGTTTGTTTTTTAAAACTATTAAGCTGTTTTTAAACGATTTTCAGTTTACAAAATTTTGCTTCAACTTTTATTTTGTATTTATTTTAATTCCCCATTGTAAACGTCGCTCCTTGCGTAGTGTCTTCTGGAAGGGTTGTAAATCATGTTTAAGTAAAACCACGAGACAAGACGCGAGAGCGCGCCAAGTTGGCGATCTTGAAAAACGCGCCAAGCAGTGGGCGATTCTGCACTTTCCCTCATTATTTAGCTCGTTAAATATGTATTTTTTAAATTTGAATTTGATTACATTTTAAAACGTTAAAGATGAATTGTAAACCAATATTATACAAAAATGTATTGTATCAGATTGAATGTAAAAATAGCCTCGCATATGAAATGGCTTTGCGTTTTTTAATGTGCTTTTAAAAGGAGAAATGTGTTTGCTCGTCAGATGATCTCACATATAACTGCTTGATTTGCTGAAGGTGTTCTACGAGAAAATCATCATATGGCATTTTGGGAAGCAATATATGTTTTTTAAGTTTTCATATATTTTCTTGTAAAGTTAATGGAAATAAGCAAGAGATAAATTACTCTCTTGTATATTGCTAATATCAAGCTGCACATTCAAGATATTTTTTTTTTTTTTTTTTTCAAAAAGGCATGTTAAAGGAGACATCATCTTAACGTTTGAGACACTATAGTAGTTATAAATTGCTGAATCACTTACTCTCCTTTAAAATAATAAAGATCGCCATAGCTGGTTCATAATTAACAACAGAGCTTAAGATTTATATGTTTTATTTCAATATATAAATGTCTATTTTACGAACTTCAATACGTGAGGATTGTAATGTTCTTAGTTGCAATCTTAATTTAAATCTTGTAATGAATAAAATGAATATAGAATCTACTACAAGAGGCAAATCAATAAACAACTCATTGAGAAAAGTTTGCACATATTTTACAACTATATTAAATGTATATTTCTTATGAAATAATTCCCACTATACAATTTCAAATATTATTACGATATTTTATATATATATATGTGTATTTCTTTCATACAAAGCCCATAACTTGCTCTAGAAAAGCTGAAAACATGTGAGGTTCTGAGATATAAGGAACAAAATATTTATCAGCAAAATAGTCTTGTAAAGTATTATATAATGTGGCACAGGTACAGCATTTCAGATAACCCTCCTTAGCAAGCTGATTAGCAAGTTCTCCTTGATGATTATCCATAAGTGCTTCGTTTAAAACAGATATCAATGGTTTTCTATTGATCAAAGATTCTAAAATTGTACCAGCTCCACCATGTCCTATAACCAATGATGCATTCTTTATGTAGTCTGTGACATCATCTTTGAATCTAAACCACTCAATTTCTATGATTGTGCTACTTTCTGGTATCACACTACCTCTGCCTATTTGAAAAATTATCTTTTCAAATCCTTTAGATGCAAGTAAATTGAGGATATCAAAAGATGAAACACTTCTAATTAAATTATCAAAAGAAGTTGAGCCAACAGTAACAAATGCAGACATGCTTCCGGTACGTTTACGTCTGCTATAGTATTTTAGGTAAATAGATATCCTCAGAAGAGATTAACCTGAAATAAGAATTAAAATAATTAAAAATAAATTATGGAAGTAAAAAAGAAAATACACGTTTTACGAACAATACATTTCAGTAATTAATAAGATAATTTTAGGACCTATTCAGGCATGCAATTTACACAAATAGTTAATCTAAAAATAACATCTTAAACATGATTTATAGAGTTAGAAACGCTCAGTATGACTATGTAGTTCAACCTTCCCTTATTTATCCATTTTCCATAGCTTTTTCGTTTTGTGTAAGTTTCTTGTTTCCCTTTCTATTTTGCATTACAAATATTTTGTGAAAACTAAATAACTGTTTATTTACACTGCCAAGTTTAGTTAAGTTCTTAATATTGTTTGCATTTACTCAGAAAAAGCAATATGAGCACTTTCTTATCCAGTTGAATGTGAAAAGCATTCAAATGGATTCCAGGTGGATTCAGCTGAAAACTGAAGTTTCTTCCAACCTAACATTTTTGAAATTTGAATACAGTATACCACCCTTACCCATTCGCGGCCGCGCATACTCGCGGATTTTCCTCTTAAAGTTTTCCCCCCCCCATAATTTTGGCTATTTTCTGAATTTCTTAGGCCATTTTTAGCAGAAAAATGCTCACATTCTCTCTAACTGGTGAGTAACTTTAAAATAACAGTGTCAGTTACAAGCTTTCGTTTCTCCTTCCTGCTGATTGGCTGCAGACGACGTAACGTCCACAAGCACCTTCATTCGCGAGAGGCAAAACAGTTTTCTCTCTCAGTCGCTCGAGGGTTTTTAAAGTGATTGAATTTAAGTTTTTGGTGTGTTATATCTAACTGGAAAGCCCGGCGGTCAGACGAAATGACCGCTGTTCTAGATATTATAAATTGTAATTAAAATGATTTGTGCAAAGGTGTCTCCTAATTCAAACTAAATTACCCCCTGACACGCTCAATTTGCGCTCAGCCTTAAATTAATTCAAAAACAGATGACTGCTAATGCAAACAAATGTTCACCTTTCCCCTGACACGCTCAATTTGCGTACAGTTGTAAACCATTTCAAAAACAGATGATTGCTAATGCAAACAAATGTTCACGTTCCCCCTGACACGCTCAATTTGCGTTCAGCTGAAAATTCAGTTTAAAATACAATGTCGGAATAAAATCGGGCAAAATTTTAAACTCTTTACGCGAAAGGATATTTAGCATAGGAGTTTGAGTAAACTACCTGATGAGATGTACTACGCACAACTCGTTAGTTTGTTTCGTCTCCTTTAATTTATCAACGTTTGCAAGTTTCTAGGTAATTCATATATAAATATAGTTAAGTGCATAACAAGCAACAATTTTATGAATTAAAAATATTTATATGTTTTTAAATACCATGATAATTTAATTAAAACAATGATAACTGCATGTACGGTATCAGTGTATATGGACTATTTGAATGTAGTGGCATCTTCACCCCATTGGCTAGTACAGTTACGCAAGCAACCAATAAACTATCGGCGACAAACAGACACTTAAGCCGCATATAATAAAGATTATACTGTACCCTTGTATTATTTACGCCCTATAAGTGATTATTTGAATTGTGAATTCAAATGTTTGGTGTGTTACATAATTACTACTGTACTCCTATATTATTTACACCCCATAATGTCCCCAAAACACCCTGCATCATCTCCAGCTTCGGGCAAGGAACCTAAGCATCAGAAATAGGTTATGACTCTATATGAGAAGGTAGAACTGCTTGATATGATAAAGGAAGGGAAAAGTTATGCTGTGGTAGGGCGCTATTAAGAAGTGAATGAAAGAACCGTGCGTTACAAAAAGAAAAATGAGAAAGCAATCAGATCTAGCGTAGCATCGAGTTTCTGCGGAAGTGCTAAGATTGTGAATGTTATACGAAACAAGGTAATTGTCAGGATGGAATCTGCCCTAGCATTCTGGGTAGAAGACTCGGAAGAAAAATATGTCTTTGAACACAAAGATGATTTGTAAGAAGGCACTGAATTTACATTCTAAATTCAATGGAAGCAATGAAGGAGAACCACAACCAGGTCCATCATCAGCATCAGATGCAGAAGAATTTCAATCCAGCAAGGGTTAGTTTAATCAGTTAGTGAAACGTTACCAACTACGAATTGGAAAATCACACGGAGAAGCTGCATCTGCTGATATAGAAGCTGCAGATTAACATCCCGAGACCTTTAAGCAACCCAATAAAGAGAAGGGATTCAATCCAGAGCAGAATTCAACACGGATTAAGCAAAGTTTTCTTGGAAGAAGATGCCTTTAGAACATTTCTCATGAAGGATGAAATGAAAGCCCCAGGATTCTGTGGCAGTCTTATGTTCGACTGCGTGCGCCGCCAGATGACGTCACATTGTTTTCGTAATAACTGCCAGCGCGACCAGCGAACTTGCTTCACATTGCCCTTAGCTCGAGTGCAAAAGATGTTTAAATATTTCCGTGTAAGTTTTTCTGGGTACTTTTCCGTTTCGCCGGCGCAAATGTCGCCAAGATGACTGTATTGGCGACAACATACAGTATACACATAAAAAATGTTAGTTCTAAGATTTTTTTTTTGGGGGGGGGAAGGCATAAACATTTTAATATCGTTTAAAATTTTGTAAAAAGCCAAAAAACAAAGACCATAAATTTGTAAAAAGACATTAAGAATTTACTATGCTTTCATGGTTCAACTTTCTGATTCACCAGTTCATATTCCGTGACCCTACGTAATCTCATCTCGCGAAAACTACGCTACAAAAATCTAATTCTCTTAGTAATCATCTCCATTAATTTGAAGTTAAATTCTTAATTTGGAATACAAGTTTAAATGCAAGAAGTTATTTCAATTCGTGCGAATAGCTTACTCAAAAATTATGTAAAACCGTAGTGCTTTACTTCGCTAATGTATTCTCATTAGAATTATGATGAATTTAACTCTTGGCTTTGCCTTTTCTATATTTTCGCCTTCGGTGAGCAGTGTGATTGCATCCTAATTGACTTAATTACTACGAATGAATAGCCTTAGGGCATAAATGTTGAACTATCTGATAAAAATCCTGGCATTCATATAATTGAATGCCAGGATTGAAAGAAACAATCAATCTGATAAGAAATGGCTGCGATTTGTTTTGAAAATGATGCGTAAAAGGTTACCAGCGAGGATATTCCGTTTGGCATCAGTTGTACCATTATTGCGACTTTATCGCCTGCGCCGGCAAAACGGAAAAGTACCTTTTTCTGTTTTAATGAATAGTTGTGCTAATGAATGTTAATAAAGTTGTGTTTTAGCGAAGTGGAGTCATGTCTTCTCACACCCATAAAATGGCGACCCGTCTACACACATGAAGCTTCAGAAGCTTGGTTCCAGGACTTTCGTTTTCTTCCTTGCAGCCACTGCCACGGAGGAAACAGCAGTCGTGAAGATACCAACTTACATCCTATAGATCCGGCATTGCGGTTTGCTATGCGTGAATCGACATTTGCATTAGCCCCACCCAAGCCTGTTACGGATCCCAAGACGAAATTTAACTATTGCGTCGCTTACTTGCCGCCGGAGATTGCTTCGTTGGTTCGAAATATCATACTTCGGGAACGCGCAGATTCTTCTTACGAAGACCTGAAAGCTGCCAAGGAAATCAGGAAATTACTCACAGGGGAGCAGCTGGGAGACATAAACCATCTGCATTGTTTCGCGTCATGAAAAGGCATGCTCAAAAACACGATATAGCTGACTCATTGTTACTAGAGTTATTCGTTCAGTAAATGCTGCCAAATGTACAATCTATCCTAGCGTCGGTGGAGCCGCTAGATTCTTCGAAAGCTGCCAGCATTGCAGACAGACTATTGGAGGTTACACCCATGCAGGTAAGCGCAGTTTCTTCACCTGTATCTGTCAGGAGCTTCAGTACACTGTTGGGTTGTGAGTTGTGTGTATTGTTGGGCGGTAGTGGATGGCGTACCCGGCTAGTCTATTGATTGGTGAAAAGAAGGACTTGCTGGATTTAGAGGACTTTGCTGGATGTCTCTTTTTTTTTCTTATGAGCTGAATATGGATCTATTGCGAATTAGAGCACTATTGTGATATTGGAATTCTTAAGCGTGTATTAGAGACTGAAGGGGAGTACTTCTAAAGACTTTGTCCTTCTCCACTCACATGGAAAAGTGTTGTTGCTGCCCATAACGGGTACCTTTTTATCTGTATACTTATTTGATGCATATATGCACTTACTTTGGCATAATATTTTATAACTCGAATGAGAATTTGTGCTTATGCACTACTGTGGAATATATTGACTATGTACACAGTGATTAATTATCATATTACAATTATTTGGCAAAACTCTTCTGTAATCTGAATGAGAATTTGTTTATTTCCTAACTTGATTTAAGATACACAACTATAGCGTATATAGCCATTGTTCTGTGTTCTGAATTTTATGATTTTCTGCTTTGTATTTGGATTTTCTTTGTTTCATTTCTTCTTTTGATGTTTATGTATTTTCTTGTATGTATGTTTTCTCTTTTGTGTTTTGTGTGTGTGTGTGTTTTATGTAATGTAATTAGTTTTTAAGTTTATTTAGGTTTATAAGTCATAAGTCCGTGTTAAAAACTACCTTGTAGGTGCACGGCACAATTTTTCTGTAAAGACTTTTTAAATTGCACTGAGGCAGGTGAAGGTGTTAGGCCCTGTGGGCATCATTTTTTTAAAACATTTTTGAGTGCTTAGAGGTTCTCCTGATTATTGTAATTTTTTAACTTCGTTTGACTTTGAATCTTATTTTATTCTTGTGACTTGTATTTATGTATTGATTTTATTATCGGATTGGAACCCGATTGCCGAGAAAATTTGTAGTCAAAAATTGCAGGATCTGAAAAAAGTGATTGTCGTGAAGAAGATGTATTTGATAAAACTTTGAAAGATACAAATAGTATCAATGAGGTTGTAAAGGAACTTTACAAAATTGTAGACAAAATTAAATCTCAAAAAAAGATCGGAGCTGTGTTACCAGACAA